GGACATCGTCAAGATGAGAAGCAGGAGGGAACCTAGTAACTAGTAGCCAGGGGGGCAGAGCTCCGTGACATTTTATTTTTCGATTATCCGCAGGCGACGACCATAGAAAGAGAGCGAATTGTAAGTTGCAGCGGCTCCGGATTCAGGCGCGTTCACGACAGACATTTCGTGACTTGGGTAATCTCGTTTTTGCTCCAGGAGTTGGCGGGTGTTAAAGATAGTGCGCAGTTAAATTTCATCGCGTTTATCCAAAGCATACGCACTAAGAAGTGCAGAGGTAGACTGGGACAGCAGTATTTCCGGGTTTATCAAGAGTGACTTCAGTCAGAAATTCACCATTCCAAATATAGCCTGTAACAGGGGGCAAAACTATGCGCACGTGATAAATTATCTGTCACGAGCAATGGGAACCATCATTATGTCACCTTGCTGACACGTGATTTCGTGCGCTGAAGCATACTTGTACTGTTTCAGTCTAACTTAACTCTTCCAACGCTCAGCAGGTTTCGATGACAAGAATACACCTGGACGATCGGAGGCGGGCATGGGCGAAATGGTCCGTCGGATGTGCCACACACGATTTTATCTCAAGAGCCCACACGTGCCAAGCTTCAGTGTGGAAGTTTCACAGCGCATGCAAGCGAAACTTACACAAGTACCATATTTGGAAGAAGGCATTGAAGTCTGAGGAGGAGAAAGCGAATATACTTGTTGGTACTGGTACTTCGTGCAACTGTGATCATATCCGATACAACTGGCCTCGATGATGTCACAGATTTTACCGCTACACGCGTACCTATTTGCGGCAGCAGAGCTGGACAGCTCAACCTATTTTATTTCTCCAGGGACTGAGACTGAATACCGAAGGTCCATGCACCACGTCCGTGTCCTGACGAATCCTACCGAGCCAGTTCCTACACTAAAGTCTTCTTCGAGACCTCCAGGTAGACAACGGCGCCGGATCGAGCGCAATATAACCGAGCTCGTGAGCCGGACTTCGGAGAATGCTTCCAAACCACCTCAGTCATTTTTATTGGATTGCCTAAACAATCTTCGCCATACTGTCGCAGCGAGTGTGAACGCATCATTTGAGACGGAATCGGTGTATTTCATTCAGAGGATGGTTCTCACGCAGCGGTGGTCAGATACCTCTAGTCTTCGCTCATCTTCCACGCGCAAAACCCAGAGTTCCCATCCATCGAGAAGGACTGACCGGACGGACGCGCGGTACATACGGATCTTTGTGGTAATGGAAGTGTAACGTCGGATATAGAAGAACTTTCCAGGGATCAGGAGAACCCGGCGAACAGCATCGGTGCAGGAGACAATGTTCTCATCTAAAGGACAGCAACTTCTCATCGTGGTATTTAAAACTGTATGCTTCTTCTAGTTGACAATCAATAATCTGCAGGGATGCTTTCCGTGCAGAGATGCAGCGTCAAAAAAATGTAAGCTTCTCAGCGTTTTTGGATAAGCCAACTGAAGTAGCGATCTCATTCATCTGCGAACATGGTCAGACTAGTGGACGTTACCAGTTTCGGCAACACACACCTATCTGATATCTTTAATCCAACTGTGGAACCTTTAACTAATCAGGATGAAGTCAATCTGACCGGCGATATGGACACCGTTTGAATACCAGTTCAGAAGATGTGTACGGCGGTGCTGGAACAAACAGTAAGTTCCGATCAACAAATTTCCGCATTCTCTCATCATTTTCTCAACGAAAGCCAAGCCAAAACCGGCCCACAAGATTACTGTTCGTTGAGTCACCGCATCCACTCCCGCGTAACAACCAGTCGATCATGGTGAGGAAGTCTTTAAACTCACGCTTGCAGCTGAGATCAGAGAGTTTGTCTATCGCACTGTTTGGCGGTTAATGTTGGTGCGTACACGGAGACGATGGAGAGGTTAGTCAAGCGCCCCTTCAATCGCGCGTAAGCCATCCGACTACTGACTGGTCCCCATGCAAGAAGGGTACGGTTTGCTTGTTCTGAGAGGACAATAGCCACACCGTGTCTACCAGAAGAGTCGCGTGGGCTTACGTGGTACGGCGCAATTGGTACGATAATGACTTGGTCACTCGCACCCGAGTCGAGAACTCTCACGATTAAATCTCAGGTGTTGGAAGGTGGCGTGAAAATGACTCAGCCGCTTGGTCCGCTAGCACTACTAAAGGAAGTTGTATTCACCCGAGCACTCTATGCGGGTTCGAAATTGAATCCAAAAGGCCGAAATAGAATCCTCGTTCCAGCGATCGGCACACCCTCGTCTCGATACATCTACAGGTTCCCCTTTTAAGGCCAAACAATATCTAAATCAGATGAATGGATCACGAGCAGGCACCGGCCCTCATTCATGTAGTCGGAGACAAGATGAGAGGCCTAGGCACTCTGCGTAAATGCAATACAGGTTATGTACTTCCAACTGTCTGCGTAGTCTGTGCTCCTGGACTGTGTTAAAAGAACCTGTGTGCAATTAATCTTTGCTGGCACTGCACAAGCCATGCGAGAATGTAGCCTATCATCATAAATTTTCCTTGTTCAACAAACGAACGTGTTCGCTGTCGCGTGAAGGTCACCTAGTTCCTCCGCCGTGGCGAAGTCCGGATGTGATGACCTTTCAGTCCGACTGATAATGAACACTGTTCCCATATCGGCGTTCGGATAGTCACAGGCGCTCATACTTCGTATGACGCCATTTGAACACACAAGGGGTTGTATGTGTGACTCACACAAATGAAAAATGAGCCGACCACAAAATACTCAGGTAAGGCTGGGCCCCGGGCTTCCGCTTAACCCATTAGAACGTGAAAGCACGGTAAGGATCGGAAATAGATGCTATGGCAATCTGTTACATTATAAACAAGTTCACTTCTATCCCAACACAAGACAGCAGTCGCTCTCTTCACTCGCGCCAGACTGACTTTATACTGTTTTTATCAGTAATAGTAGAGAAAATGAGATTCCCATATGTTTATTCTGAAGAAAGAAGACCACTCGCCAGGAGAGGTTTATTGTGTGTCTGACGTTTCGGGTAGTTGTTTCATCTACCCATCTTCAGAGCCTGAACAGTCCGGCTCCTGGCTCTCGTTATATACTGCTCTTTCTTCGTGTGCGTAGTCTGCCAATCCCGACCTAGCCGCTGTGTCTCATTCGCATATCACTGTCACTTCATGTAACTCGTTCTGTGTCGGTTAATTTCGGACCGATGTAATGATTAGACATCAAGGCAGATAAAAGGAGCCTGGATGTCGACTGAATGTTCAGTAAACCGTCACATAAATTTGTCTAATGCGGATTTCGTTTTCAAAAAAACTTCTTAATAGGGTCCAGGCACGGCGTGGAACAATCGAGGCCGCCAACTATCTCTATCACTAACGTGTACGGGGGTGAAACAAGCCAGGAGGAGACGCGGGTCGATGCGATACAACAGGCGATCAACGCGCGTGGGCGGAAGCAAATACTGGCGACACCGTTACAGACACAACACTACCGTCGGTCAACGGGGAGAACGTCTGCGGAGTTACAAATGATAGTAAATGCCAGTCACAGATGGCGGCTCAGCCGGTATTAGCAGAATGTGCACAGGAAAATAGAGCGGCATAGGACGAGAACCACGAGCTGCATTATTCGGGCTCTGAATATGGGTAGACGAGCCAACTACCCGAAACGTCAAACACACAACAAACCTCTCCCGCTGAACGCTCTTCTTTCTTCTGACTGCTAAGTCGGAAATCAGGACCCAGAAACAGCTGATTTATTCCACAAGCGAACAACCTAAAAAAGTTGGCGGTACTTACTGGGGACTCCGACGGTCCTGGGGACTGGATGTCGCAAGTGGCATCCACTCCCGCGGGCACAGCTTCGGAGG